GTTACTACGTCCATGGAGATATGTCTCCGCGACCTGAGCAGGCTCTCGCTATGACCATGGTGCGTCTCTAACAAGCTCGACCCGTTCGTACTACGATTGTACTACGCCCAACACGCCCAGACTACGCCGTTGTGGCGTTCGCATTACGTGTTAGTTACGCTCAGATCACGTCCTGCAAACTTGGGGTATAATTTGGGGTGCTACCCTGGCCACCCCACCAGTTCAGTGTCCACTATGGATGAGGCAACACTACTCCATGCCATGTTTCTCGTAGGACAACTCGAACTACCTGATTGCCAAGCCTTCATTGCCAAGCCCACGGCCTCTCCCCTTGTCTTTTGGCGGCATTGTTGTGTCCGTAAAAAATAATCTTGATGTTAATCTTGATTTAAGTTGATAATGTTGATCTTAATTATCTTGATGTTAATCTTGACAGCACGGCAGAATGAATGATGATGTATAGAACGCGGCGCGGTATTTCTATGATCGTTGCCAGCGCAGTCGGCGCGTGATTGGCGCGCAGTTGAGGCGCGGTGAGCGTTGCTAAGGCGCAGTGCAAGCGTCGTTCGAACGCAACACGATCTGATTGGTCGCAATAAAGACGCAGTCCGCGCAGTGCAAGCGTGATGCAGGCGTGGTGTTGAGCGTGGTGAAAGCTTGTTGAGCGCAATGAGATCGGGGTAAAGACGCACTTAGATCGTAGTATGGACGTAATTAGATCGTAGTATCGGCGCTGGGCCCGGCTGGGGCCCAATTGGCCACGCTCTCAACTACGCTCACCACGCTCGGGCAAATATTTTTAGGACGGGGCGATCGTGATGAGCGTAGCTCTGGTGTGATTGGGCCTTTAGTACTTACTTTTAATGTAAAAAAATGGCAACAACATTTTTACAAATATCACCATAGAAAATTCGTGACCTAGTCAATTTAACAGTAGCGAATACCACTATTGTGTGAAAGTACAGTGTAGCCCTATTATAACGCGATGGTTGAGGTCCATAAAATGTCATCGCGAAAAAAGCGGGGTCGCGCTAAATCGGGGTTATATATATACGTGGCTATATAAGAGCAAAAAAAGGGGTCCAACGACTCATCACGTTATATCCGAATTCACGTTACATCGGGGCGCGTAAATCAGGGTTCCACTCTAATTTCAATTTTTAAATTCGATTTTCGTTGGTAGTGTTACATTCATTATGCACAAAACCTTCGTAATAGACTACGCCACGTGTTGACATCCGACCAACTTAACATACTGCAGAAGTGGCAGGGTTGTTAAGAGTAAAATTGTGGGGTAAAAAATGGTTCAACTTAGTGTTTTTAGGCAATAATTTCACACTTATGCACGAACTGGAACGAGTGTTTTTGCTGTCATGCCGCTGGGTGTGATTTTAGGGGATGTGGTGGATGTGGGGATGTGGATGTGGAGATGTGGCTTGATCTATGTGGTGGGCTACAAGAAAAAATGGCTGAAATCTGTCTTCAATTCAAGTATAGGTGTGAAGTTATTGCGTAAAAATACTAAGTTTACATATTTTTACTGTATTATGTAAGTCCAAGCAGGAAATGTAGCATAAGAGGAATGTGGAGGTGGCATAGTTTATTATGTAGGTTAGGTTAAGGTTAGGTGGGTTGAGTTTAGGCCTGGCCTATTATAATACCCATATCTGTCCAATGCAAGTCTAGTTTGTTTTTAAAGCAGTTGGCCGTCTTGGCCTAG